TCCCACTGTCAAATCCGGCTGACAAAAAAACAGCAATCACAGCAGTCTTCAAGGGTGCTGGGCCTCCCTTCACAAATGTGTTCCTCAACATAGTAGTAAAAGGTATGTTCCCTGAGTAGTCCAAGGAGGGGTCGCTATGAGTCGGGGCCAACTCGACAGCAAAACAACAACAACAACAACAACAACAACATGGCTCTAATCTGGTAAATCCATTCTAACATGCCAATTTCCCTAAACCTTTGGATAACTTTTTCTACATAATACCCATGCAGGTCTTGTACTTCAACTTGACTTAATGTCATCTACTGCATAATCAGTAAACTAACCAACCAAACTATTATATCCTTTTCCTAAGCTCTTGAGCTGTAACACTGAAGAATCTGTCCTCAGTGGGCCCAAGTCAAACTTAGACTGATCTAACATTATGTTCCTTCCACCATTCTCCTATACCCTTAATAGCCATTCCCACACATACTCCCCCCAGGTTTCTGTTTGTACATAGTAGCAAAATCAAGCCATTCTTTTTGACTGTAGCATACCCCTTCCTGAATCACATTTTGTATTTCTCCTTTTGGGGCTTACTGGGACTTAAGTCTAGATATAGGTCTAGAAGCAACAATGGGTGGTTAGGGTGGTTCCTGGAAACATTCAGCATTGTCTAGTAAGGCATCTGCACAGGCAATGCCCCAGGTGCCACCCCAGGTGATATCTCAGATAGTGACTCAGCAGGCACAGCTGGGTTAATCACAGCAAATGGAAGTGGAAAGGATAATGATTTTATTGAGAAGGGTGGCTTAGCCAACAAAGATGTAGTTATCTCTTCAGAAAGCAGGGGGTTGCTGTTGGCAGGAGTGACTCAATAGAATTTAGGCGCTCCATATTCCCATCTTCCTGACTGACCACGTGGTCACCATTCCAAGTTCCAGGATCCCACTACTTCCAATCAATGTCTTTTATTTCAGGCTCCATTCGAGGTTGGCAATACAGCTGGTATTGTAATTCAGCCACTCTTTTTAAGACTCTGAATATGTTTTTCACCAATATCAGTTCTGTTAGCTACAAGAGATAAGGCTTTCTTTCAGGGCACAATTGGAAACATTGAGGTCTTTTATGCATTCATCTTGTTCTTTCACCACTTTGTCTAGTTAAAGTAGGACCAATCAACCAGCTTCCTCATACACTTCATTCTAACAAAACTGCAGAAAAGTATCAAACATTTGATCACCCAGAGCCTTACTTCTAACCAATACTTGATCTACTGGTGGTACTATTTCATGTATTAATGTTGCCACCTCACACCATGGATTAGTAGTGCCCTTATGACTAACCAACCTTGAGAGTCAATTTAGAAAACTCGATCCTTTTGATTTTGTTTCTTTTCCCTACTCTCAGTACCAAGTGAGGGTAGGTTTTTTAGAAAAGCAAAACCAGTGTGGCTTAGAGAGAGAGAGAATGAGAGAGAAAAGTTTATCTCAAGGAAATGGCTCACGCAGTTGTAGAAGCTGGCAAGTCCCAAGTCTGTGGATTCAACGTCAAGCTAGAGGCTTTTCCTGACTCATGTAGATGCAGGGGCTGATGAACTCAAGATTGGCAGACAGTATAGCTGGCTGCTGAGGCTGATGAGTGCAAGATCGGCAGGTAAAATGGCAGGTTGTTAGCTCACAGGCTGCAAAGGCAACAATCCCGAGATCGGCAGGCGATATGACAGGACATCAGTTCAAGTCCAGGAACCGGAGATGATGATGGGCCAAATGCAGAATCCAAAATGAGAAAAAAGCCAGAGAACTTTTCCACATATACTGGAAGCATGCCACACTCTAAAGGCAACTCCCCTTAAACTGGCTGGCTGCTCACAGCAAATTCCACCATGGAAGAATCCACCGAATCCAATTACATCATGGGGAATAACTATATCACAACTGCCAAGCCACTCAGAATCACTGCCCAGCCAAGCTGACACAACCTTAACTACTGCCTAAGAGCAAACACGGGGGCTCTGGTAGCATAGTGCCTAAGGTACTTGACTGCTAACCAGAAGGCTGGTGATTCAAACCCACCAGCCACTCCTCAGAAGGAAGGTTGGGCAATCTATTTCCATAGTGAAAGTGCTTCAGAAATCCAAGGAGAGGTCACTACGAGTCGGGTCTGATTCGACGGCAATAACAACAACAAGAGCAAACACAGATCTGATAGGCTGCTAAAAAAAGGGGGGGAGAGGGAGAATCAGTTGATTTTCACTGAGAGGTGGTTTCAAGCCTTTATATGTACGTGCCAACACACATCCAAAGCAGTGTGATCAGCCGCCATCTTTGAGTGGGCCACCACTACCTGGTTTCCTATTAATTTCAAAACCCTGAGTGCAACATATACTCCCTTGGCCATGATTGAACCATTTTGAACAGTTTCAAACCAGCTCAAAGCCCTGGTAGAAAGTAAAGGAAGTACAAGAAGCAGAGCACATACAAGCATCCATACACAGCTGCCTCAAGCTATAAACCTGCTTTCCCAGGAAAATATCCCACTTTCTTTAGCAACAGCAACTAAGAACCTCCAAACAATTAAGACTTGACCCCCCATTTCTCTCCAACTGGATACTATTTAGATAAGGATTAAAAAATTAATGATAATTTACGAGCTAAGGAGCTAAGGTGGTGCAGTGGTTAAGGCATTTTGGCTGCTAACCAAAAGGGCAGTAGCTCGACACCCCCCCCCCCCCCCCCCCCCCCGCTGCTCCATGGAGGAAGATGAGGCAGTCTTCTCCCATAAAGATCACAGGCTTGGAAGCCCTATGGGGGGGGTCGCTATGAGCCGGAGTTGACTAGACAGGAGTGATTTTGGTTTTGATGAGCTAAGCTGACATATCTGGCTACTAGATGCCATTATTTTACAGCCAGCCCCTTGAAAGTTACTAAAAATCTCTGGAACAAATTCACAGACAGGCCTCAGAAGTCTGAAGCCAGACTTACATTTCAGGCATCTCTCTTTAAGGGCAGCCTGGTGGGGACTACAGATTAACATCAGCGCTATATATATATATTTTTTCATGATTAACAAGCAGTAACCATTGTGCTCTCAAACACTGCAAACCAAGATGGTTGCAGAGCCCCCCCTCCCCCCCCATTTATCTCCAACTGGATAGGCACGCTTCCTGGAGGAGCAGCAGGGCTGTATGAAACCCCCAATCTCAAAACAGTCTGGGCAAGTTTCTCATCATCTGCTGAAAAGAGGGTCCCCTCCCCTTTTTAAATAAAAAGGTGCAGACGCTAATAAAACTGAACAAGCGCCCACATTTTCTTTTTGGGAGAAGAACCAAAGGATGATTCAGACAGGGAGGCAGGCAGCAGGATCGAGGGAATGAAGAGTCATGAGATTCCAGTTTTATTCCTGGCTCTACCCAAGACCTGGCATGTGACCACCAGCAAGCTACTCCTTTCTCCATGAGTCTCTCAGTCTTCCCTTCTCTAAAATATCACAGTCTTATCCTTGTCCTGTAACTTAATTTGTGATTCTCTAGCAGAAAGGGAATATATGAGGTATATCAAAAGGCTAAAGGGTATGCTCAGTTCTTTAGATCTGGACGCTGGGTAAATAAAATACAAGTCCTCCTCATTTTTAATAATGTATTTCAGATGCAGAGAATCTATGAAGCAGTACATTAACCTGGTTACTCTGAAGTTTAACACTTCAACAATTCAGGAAAAAGGGCATCATGAGTTAGGTAGCATTACCTCCTAGTAAAGTATGAACCTACAACCCAGTTCCAACAAGCATTTATATACCCAAAAAGAAAGGAAAGGATACCTATAAGTCAAGAGATCTCCAGGAATTAGAACCATTCTTTTGAAGGGAGAAGCAGGCAATGAATAAAAGTAGGAGAGATATCTCACATACAACAGCCAGAACGTTGAGAGTTTGTTTGTGAAAAATCTTTTTTTGGTCTCAAGTTTAAACACTTCCAACATATTATAATGAAGGCTGTACCTTTTTTTGCCTTAACATAATTCAAAGTTTAGAATAGTAGTCAGTGGGATGTGATGTTTTCTTTTGCAAGTTACACTTCAGCATCGGTTTTTGCTTGAACACACCCATTCCCTGAAGTGTAAAACATCCAAGAGCAGTTTCTGTCCTTGTACTGCTCCAGAACAATGACAACTGACATCCAAGATTAATGATGAACCAGCAGCAAGAGTGCCATGTATTTTCCATGAACACAGTTTAGTGCTGTATCCAGCAAAATCTCCATGAAGACTAATCAGATATATATTCATCATGTGCTTAATAAATTGGAGGCGCTAGCATTTATCAAAGAAAATCTCCATCCCGGCATCCAAGTAACTACTTCTCACCACCACAAAAACTACAATCCAGAATCTAACCACCAGGCCACACTCTTGGCCAGTGTACTGTCCTGACTGACTAAATTGTTCTTGGGTCTCATCCTGTCTCCAACCCACCAAGACTGCTTGCATTCTAAAACGAACTTGTTAAGTAAATCCAACAGTTCATTTTTCACCTGGGAGGAGACTGATTTCCCACTGAGCATGGGAAGACAAGGACCATTCTGATTTAAAAATCCTTAGATACTTTAAAATATCTGGGATCATTCTGTAGCTATTCCAAAATAAAGCTTAGAAGCCCTATAAAAGCAGGGTTTTTTTTTTTTGTTTGTTTGTTTGTTTGTTTTTGTTTTTTAATGGCTGCTACAGGCTTAAGGCAGCGCTAACTACATAGTGAGTACTGGGTTGGGAGTGAAGCTTATTATATGAATGAACAAACAGAAATCACTCCTTGACTCTGCTAATTTCCTGCTCTAACATGCAGAGGAGAGAAAAGAAATCAAAGTGCTTCCCATTGGCACAGCTGTATCTAGAAGCATCAGATGGCATCTTCCTGGTGGGGAGTTGTGCAGCTGCCAGTTCACCAAGATGGAGAGCCCAGAGCCTGTGATTCCCGGACTCGTCCACCTTCAAAGGCTCATATATGACTTGATGACACCATACCTCTTCCTCCAGCTTCACCACCTTGGCCTGGGCGTTGCTCAGGGCCTGGTCTCGGATTTCAATGTGCCGCCTTTGGTCCTCATTGGTAGAACGGGCAGTGGCCAGCTCAGCTTCAAGTTTCTCCTTCTCTCGTTGACTTTCTTTATCTATCCGGACATGAAATATCAATATGAGCATCCTGGAGGAGTCTCAAAGCCTAGCTTGAGCAAAATTGACAAATATGCCACTACTAGAAGTTCTATGGGAGCTCTGGTAGCGTAGTGCCTAAGGCACTTGAAGGTGGCGGTTCAAACCCACCAGCCACTCCTGGGAAGGAAGATGGGGCAATCTACTTCTGTAGTGATACTACCTCGGAAACCCAAGGAGGGGTCGCTATGAGTTGGGTCTGACTCGACAGCACGTAACAACAGCAACAGAAGTTCTATCGTTCTATTAGACAGCTAAAAGAACCAGGATACCCAAGATCTGGGCTTTATCAGATCTTGAAAATAGAGGCTTTTGTTAGTGGCTTATTTTAGTAGCTTTATCACTAACTTGCTGGGTGAATTCAGAAAAGTCACTTAACAATAGTTGTACACAAGCAATGAGAAAGTAGGTGTAAAAAATATTATGGAAAGCACATTAAACATCAATATACAAAGGAATATGTATATGTATGTACGTATATCAGAAGAGAAAGAGTTGTCACCTTAATTCTTTTTCTTCAAAACTGGAAGAAAAAGTATTTGAGCCCAAAAAGGTTTTCACCACTGTTTCTTCATGACAATGTATTAAATAGATTTAAAAATGATGTAAACAGATTTAAAAATGATATAAGTATAATGTATAAAACCCAAAATCTCATCCTTTACACAGTGACATCATTTACTAACTGAGATCAAGTCTATTAACCAACATCTCTTCTCCAGGGAAAGCCTAACTCAACGCCACTCCCTAACCCAACCTCCTTTATCTCAGAATCTTCTCTTAGAAATTCAATTGAGTATGAGATAAAAACTGGAAGCCATGTTTGGGCTTCTCCTTATTCCTTCTTCTGCAGGATAGGTTGGGTGTCGGAAAGAACAGGGGAGAGTCAGAGGAGAAAACAGGAGGATCAGAGGAATATAGGCAGCTATTTCACCTGGAAAAAAAAAAATTCCTCTACTTGGGAATCTCCTTTTCTGCTGAATCAGTAGTTAAGCCTAAGAGTTTGAAAGGTTAATTTTTAAAAAGGCAATCTGGTATATTTGCGTGCTTAATATATGTGGGGGTGTGTATTGTTTAGGTGCTGTTGAGTAGATTTGATTCATAGAGAGCCCATGTGACAGTACAAGTGCCCCATAGAGTTTTCTTGGCTATAATCTTTATGGAAGCAGGCTGCCAGGTCTTTTTCCCAAGTATCCTCCTCATAGCTTTGAACCGCCAACCTGTCGGTTTGCAGCTGAGCGCTTAATCATTGTGGACTCTATCTATATATTGTCTATGACTTTAGAATGGAAGAGCTTAGTGGGCAGTAGAAAGTGGTCTTTCTAGCTTAGATTTTATAGAGACCTCAGTTAATGGCTTCCTTCTGAGGATTGGCTGGTGGGTTACCTACATAATAAGGACTCAACATACTATCTGTGGTATGGTATGAAAAGCATATCAGAATAAAGCACCAATATGGGACATCAGCAAGTCTATAATTTTCAGAATAGAGGAATGGTATCACAAGTTAGCATTTGAATAAGCTAATAAAGACTCACAAGTGATCTCTAAACAAATTTGACACTTTGTTCCATATACCATTTTTTAAACAAATCTTGGGAGCTCTGGTGGCATAGTGCCTAAGGCATTTGACTGCTAACCAGAAGGCTGGCAGTTCAAACCCACCAGCCACTCTTCAGAAGAAGGTTGGGCAATCTACTTCTGTAGTGATACCATCTCGGAAACCCAAGGAGGGGTCGCTATGAGTTGGATCCAACTCGACAGCAGTAAGGATAGTGAATGTCCCTTGTGCCAGTACCCACAGATGATCAGAACATTTGAATATTCTACCTAAAGTGATTATAACTGACTCCCAATGAGGTAATCCTCATTTTCCCTGAACTATCACTTAAACATTCCATTGCTTGGTTATGTTAGATGGACCCCTGATGAGGTTTTCTTATTAGCTTGCTTGTTAATCACATTCATAAGCAAGATGAACCTTATCAAGAGTTCAAAATTCATAAACAGTGGAGCCAAGAGACCTGTAAAGCCTTACCCAAACAGGTTAACCAGTACGAATAAAAATTTGGTGTGAACATATGTCAGGTGAGCAGCTGTCTAAATGGCAACTGAGCTCAATCAACTGTTTGGATTCGTGCCTCCAATCAATTAAGATTTGGGGAACCCCTGAGCTAGAGAACTAAGAGCTTTGTTTATGTTCAATGAACTATATACCATTCTATCTTCAGGCATAAATGCTACAGAAGTCAACAAAGACATAAAAATATGGATATGAAGTATTACTTACAGATACCTATACTCGCCCCCCCAACACACACACACACACACACACACACACCCTCTACAAACTGAAGACTCTTATGCCCCTTTCATAGACTTTTCTGAAAACGGTACCTAGGCTCTTCAGCGTCCTAGGGAAGGGTCTACAGAAGATGTAGGACCACACCACCACACCCTCATTTATTCTCTACAGTTGAGCTCTGCATGTTATAAAGCAGAAGGGAAGGATCCACACCTTCCCCCCAGGCAAAAGGCAAGATGATGAAGGTGCCCAATAAACCCTGACTGTGCTAGCCTCTACCAAGGGCCTTTGATCAAAACTAATCTAGATCAACCTCTGACTCAATATTTAAATTAAAATGCTTTTGAAAAGAATGGGAGAAAAATACCACCACTATGGGGATGCTAGCCCTTGCTGATTCCTCCTGTTTATCAGAAAAATTCCTTCTATGGAGTCCTGTTTATAACCCTGAATTTATATAAGAGCTATTTTTTTTCTCTTTGCCAGACAGAGATCACAAACATTCATAAAGAAAAATCAAACAGATAAGACCACTGGGAAGTCTAATCAAGCAAAAAAAAAAAAAAAAACAGCACGATAAATAAATTAGAATTAAGTAGGGGAAAAGATATAGAGAAGTAGTAGGTTCTTTGAAAAACTCTATTCAGATTAAATTGAACTGAAGTTTGTTTTTCTGGGAATATATAATCTGCCAAAATGTGTACCAGGAGACGTAATAAACTAAAATGAAATTGTGTTTGTCTCTGGCATGTAAGAAAGGTTTAGTATCACAGTTCTGAATCTGTTCCAAATAGTTTATATAGCAGTCAAGAAATCAAATGGCATATTGCTTTGAGCAAATCTGCCACAAAAGACCTTTTAAAAGTGTTAAAAAGCAAAGATGTCACTTTGAAGACTAGGATGTGCCTGACCCAAGCTGTGGTATTTTCAATCACCTCATTTGTATGCAAAAGCTGGACAATGCATAAGGAAGACAACATCCAATTTATGCATTCGAATTATGGTGCTGATGAAGAATATTGGATATACCATGGACTACCAGAACAAACCTGTCTTGGAAGAAGTACAGTCAGAATGCTGCTTAGAAGTGAAGATGGTGAGACTTCGTCTCACGTACTTTGGACTAGTTATCAGAAGGAACTAGTCCCTGGAGAAGGACATCATGCTCGGTAAAGTAGATGGTCAGATAGAAAGAGAAAGACCATTAACGAGATGGATTGACAGAGTGGCTGCAGCAATGGGCTCAGAAATAGCAACGACTGTGAGGATGGCACAGGACTGGGCAGTGCTTCGCTCTGTTGTACACAGGGTCACAACAAGTCAGAATTGACTTCATGGCACCAAAAAACAACCTGATTCAACCTCCTACCCTATCATGACTTGGGGTTGACTTGAACAAGTCAGTTAACCCAACCTCTACCTATGTCTGTACTTCTCTTCTTTTAAAATAGAGATAGCAATATCATTTTACTTGAACTCCCACTATTTGTTGTTGTTGTTTTTGTGCTTTGGGTGCAAATTTACAGAGCAGATTTGTTTTACATTCAACAGTTCATGCACATTTGATTTTGAGGCCCTGATTACAATCACCAACCATAAAAAACTCTCCTTTCCCCTCCCTGTGACTACCCCCTCCCTCCCTGTGCCCTTCTTATCTATGCATTCCTATCTGTCCAACCTTCCCTCTATGTGAATGCTACCCCTCTGATAGCTCATGGTTGATTGATCTAAGGGGTACATCTCCCTAGAGTAGGTGGGTTCATCGCCCTGGGGTAGGTGTTCTGCATGTAGGTCTTTCTACTGTTGGGCTGAGAGCTAATCCATAGAAGTGAGTCCATTTCTAACCTTCCAAGGATCAAACTGTTGTTGCTGTTGTTATGTGCTGTTGAGTCGTACCACAGTGACCCCTCCTTGGGTTTCCGAGGCAGTATCACTACAGAAGTAGATTGCCCCACCTTCCTTCGAGGAGTGGCTGGAGGGTTTGAACTGCCAGCCTTCTAGTTAGCAGTTAAGTGCCTTAGACACTATGCTACCAGAGCTCCTAAGGATCAAATTAGATAATACCAAAAAACCAAACCCAAACCCACTGTATTTGAGTTGATTCTGACTCATAGCCACCCTATTAGATAATAGATTACTTGAATAATGGATATATTCAAAGTATAATCAAACAATAAGGAAACCGCTGCATAAATAAAGAGTAAGATGATGATGATGATCATGGTGGTCATGATTAATAATAGAGCATCTTTACTTCAAACTACGCCTTTCTTTGTGATCTGACAGATTCTGTTTGCAAGTCTGTAGAATAAATTCGAGGCTCACCATACGTATAAAATTAACAATGCTTTCTGAATCCAGGACTGTCTTATAAGCTACAGATGACCATGCCTTTCTAGCTCCCTTCTCATTGTACTTAGGACAGACCTCATACCAAAAACTCAGTAGTTTTATTTCCATTTTTTTGTGGTAGAGTGCCCTTTCTCTGGAGAAGTAGATAGTTAAGTTTGTCAAAGACATTATAATAGGACAGCCTCACCTTCCTTCCCACTCTGACTTATCTATTCAGATGTTACCATGGAAAAATAAAAACATTTGCTGAATATCTATTGCATATCAGATATTGTACTGAACGCTTTAGGGTATTTATCTCATTCAATCTTCAGAACAAGCATACAACAAGAAGGTACTCTCTTCTGTTTTTTGTATATAATAAAACAGAGAGTTGGAGAGGTTAAGTAACTTGCACAGGATCCATAATTGGTAAATAAGTAGTGGAGCCCATATTTAAACCTAGGTTGTTCTAATCTTTCTGCTATACTAGGCTGCCTTCTCCTAGGGTCAGGTTGATTTGGCCTCTTCAGAATTGCTGCAACACATTCCGTAGGAAGGCTTTTCAAGTGGGGTTTCTTTTTTCCTGACCCAGTTTCCACCATGCAGGGTCCTGCCAATGCCCAAAGGCAAAAGAAAGTAACACCAAGAATCATGTCCTCTTTCTATGTCTAGTTGATGGAGTTCATTTTTCTCTCTCAGGCCACTTGACAGTCTTTCCCCCTGCTATTCATGAAGTTTGATCTACTAAATTACCACTAGGACACCTAGGACACCTGAAATACCATGCCCTCACAGAGAGGAGTGAGGGCTAGCAGATTCAGGGAAAGAATCCACATTTTTTTGGTTTGTTTTGTCTTGGTTTGTTTTGTCTTGGGAGGCTGCCACCCTCTTTCTGTCAGTGAACTAACTTCCAGGGTAACCATGACACTACAAAAGCAACTTCACCTCCAAGCAATTTACACCAGGCACTGATGACACCAGAAAAACTACATTCCTTCCTCTAAGATATACTGACAAAGAAAAAGAGAATTAGGAAAAGAGGAAAAAGAAAAAAAGAATGACTAAAAAACCCAATTCTGAAGCCACAACACAACAAAGCAACCTAGGAAGATAGGGTAATATTACAAGAGAAGATAAAACACATTTACACAAGCTGACTAGAAGCCACATGGAATGACTTAAAGCAATTCTACAGCTGGGAGATGCACTGAGAGCTGAGGGTTAAGAGAAACCAAATATGAGCATCCACAAAAATGAAGACAGTTATCTGTTTCCCCTCAACTAACTGTCCTTATGGGCTCAATCTACTATGCAGTTTTTACTGAGTTTTACTACGTCAATTGGGAAAAAATAAAATAGCTATTTTTCAGCTGAGTAGAGTCCATTAGGAACTGATGAAGAATAGGGTTAATTCCTTGTCAGGGTCCTAAGATTATTTCCAGACAAGGGAAACCCTATTCTGAGAAAGACATAGCTCTGTCCTCTCCTACACCCTCCATCCAATTCTATACCCAGAGTCCCTATCACTGGTTCATGTCATAGCCATGCTTCCTCCCTCTAGTTAATCTTGCAGTCTGCAGACACATAACGATATTATAAAATACAAGTTAGGTATTCCAAATGCCAGTTATCGATCTTGCATGCTAATCCCATCTCTACTATAGTTAGACTAAGTGTGAGCCTTCTAAGAAAATCTCTTCAACATTAAGGGACTCCATGTTCACTAATGGTCATTTCTTCAACTAGCCATGACAATGGCGGAGAGTTATAGGGACTTCTCTGGTTTCCACTCCTCGGAAGGAAGGTTGGGCAATCCTACTTCCGTAGTGATACTGCCTCGGAAACCCAAGGAGGGGTCGCTATGAGTCGGGGCCGACTCGACGGCAAATAACAACAACAACAACATGTTATGGAAAGTGGTCAACTTGGCCTAGAAGGAAAAGAACAGAATCTTCCAATCAAACTTCATGCCTGAACAGGGAAAAAAAAAAAAAAAAAAAACTTCCCTAGATGATATTAACTCTGTCCTGGCTGTTTTAGAAAGCTAAATAGAACCATGGAACTTGTTCACACACCTCACTCCCATCAGCACATTAATACCCGCTCCTGAAGCTTTTATACTTACTTTTAGCAAAGAGCTGAGAGATGGTTTTTCTGGTGTCCTCTGACCCCTCATATTCTTTCTCAGCAAGCTGCTTGTTGGCAGTCTCTAGACGTTCTGTGGAATTTGGAGACAATCAACAGGGCCCCAAATACAAACTCCCAAGCGCATGCTGTTTACCCTCTAAATACCGACCTTTGACAAAACAAGCCTTCTCCTCCTTGTTAAGTAGGAATAGGTTACACAGACATAGGTTTGCAAACGTGAATTACAAAATGAAATAAAACTAGACCATGGTAGGGAAGGAGGAAGTGAGTATGCTATACTTTCATTCTTCACTGACAAAATGGAAGTGCAAAATTATAACTGTCAATGAAAGAATCCATCCTTGAATATATAATGATAACTTTCATTAATGTTAAAAGAAAAAGAGCATCAAAGTTTTGATAAGGTCTGTAGAATCACGTATTGTCAAAGCTGGAAGGGACCGTGGGCAGTATATAGTACAAAAATAAACACACAATCCCACTGCAGTGCAGTGGATTCTGACTCATGGTGACCCAACTCCCTCAATTTTATAGATAGCCATAAAACCAAGATAGAAAATAACTTCCCCAGATATCATCAGTTTTGAAGGTGATTTTAAAAAATACCTCTCACCATCTTCAATATTTTCATGTTAAGGTGAATTCCAGAAATAACATTTGGAGGATATCACTATTGTAAGCTTGCACAGCCAAAAGATGTGCCTTTAGCAAATCTTGTAAAGGAAGAGGGGCAGCACAGATGGTGGAGACAGAGGAGGTGTGTTCAGGAGTTCCAAGACAGATCCTGCTTGATTAACACATTAGTTCATATCTTAGAAGGAGTCAAATGGACCTCCCACTTTGAGGGAGTACAAGCTTAAGATCAACTACTATTGCAGTGACAAAAATCTAGCCTTGTATAAGCCCTGCAATTTACTGGCCATACCAGTAGATTGGATAGTCTCTAAGAGCCTAATAAAATGCTCCCCCACAGTCCTTCAGTTCACTGTTCTGCCCAACTCTTTGGAAACAGGAACAGAAGGTCATTGATTCCCTCACCTCTCAGATCCCTGTTGAAATCATGCATCCTCCGAATCTCCCCCTCGAGCTTGTTTCTCATAGCTTTCTCCAGAGTCTCTCTCTTGGAGGATGACTTCACAAGGTTCTCATATGCCTCGGAGACACGCTGGATTTCTGTCTCCACCTTAAGAGATAAGGAAAGATGACAGTGAAAGTAGGGAGGTGTTGGGTAAGATTGACTGAAAACATTTGCAAATCCTCAATGACAGCTTCTTCCAAGGTTTTACAGATGGCCAGGAGGCAAGTACAACACAGGTGAGAAGGGTTTCAAGGAGATTTCTAAATTCAACCATAAGCTCCGTCATTAACTCACTGTTTCATTTTATTTTCTCAGGCTAAACAACAAAAAGTATTTTCTACCTTCAAGGAGGGTGGCAAGGTAAGTTTCATAAATGATTTTAATTTCTAAATAAAAACTCTCAATTGAAAATTATTAATAATAATTTATATGTTATGTAGATAACTTTTTTCCCAGAGCATGTGAAGGGCTTTCCACATGTTTATTTCAATTTGCCCTGATATCTCTGTAGGCAAGGATTCCTCTCATCATCTTAACCAGGTGTCATCAAGGTTCTTCTGGAGACCTTATTGGACAAAGCAGAACTGGTTGTAATCTTTACAGAAGTAGACTGTCACATCTATCTCCTGTGGAGCAACTGCTGGATTCGAATCTAACTGCCAACCTTTCAGTTAGCAGCCAAGCGCTAACCATTGCACCACCAGTTGTTCTCTGCATCTTAGCTTGTTGTTGTTGTTGTTACGTGCCGTCGAGTCAGCCCCGACTCATAGCGACCCCTCCTTGGGTTTCCGAGGCAGTATCACTACGGTAGGATTGCCCAACCTTCCTTCCGAGGAGTGGCTGGTGGGTTTGAACCGCCAGCCGTCTGGTTAGCAGGCAAGTGCCTTAGCCACTATGCTACCAGAGCTCCTCCCCTGCATCTTAGCAGAGGAAACAAAAAAGTGCCTTTCACAAGAGCAAGTTAAGTGACAAGTGATGAACGCTAAGAATGTTAACATTCATCAGCCTGATGCCATCAAGTTGATTACGACTCATAGTGACCGTATACGACAGAGTAGAACTGCCCTCATAGGGTTTCTAAGGCTATCAATCTTTACTGAAGCAGAGTGGCTGGCAGATTTAACTGCTGACCTTTGGGTTAGCAGCTGAATGCTTTAACCACAGTGCCACCAGAGCTCCTTAAATATTTATCAAGGGCTATTATTTGCAAGAACTTTTTAAAGCACTGTGGGGTACACAAATATGGATGAGGACATTTTTGTCCTCAAGGAGCTTCCAATGTAATCAAGTAAAATATGATGCATTACTAAGATAAGTAGAAGCATTTCTATAAAGTACAGAGGAGGAAGAGGTTATCCCTTATTAGGAGTGAGGGGGCTGGACAACAATTTCAGGGAGGAGGTGGAATTTGAGCCAGACACTGAAAGATGGTTCAGATTTCAATAGGCAGAGGTGAGGGGCAAGGTATTCTATTCAGAGTGAGTAAATGCATTCCCATAATGACCAGTAGTTTACTTTGGCTGGGTACTGTGGGGTACACAGAAGAAAGCAGGTGAGCTATGACTGCACAGAATATTATATTATATTATTATATTATGTTATGTATGTATGTGAACTGCTGTATGAAAAGTGAATTTGCTCCTTGGTGGCATTCTATCAAAAAAGGAGCTCTGGTGGTGTAGTGCCTAAGACATTTGACTGCTGGCTGGCGGTTCAAACCCACCAGCCACTCCTCGGAAGGAAGGTTGGGCAATCCTACTTCCGTAGTGATACTGCCTCGGAAACCCAAGAAGGGGTCACTGTGTGTCAGATTCGACTTGACGGCAGGGAGTTTGGTATTTTTGGTTTTTATCATAAAATGGCTCAAATGCCAGGCATTTGGACTTTACCCCCATAGTTGGAGGATAACCAGTACAGACTTCTGAACAGAAATTAAGTGTCAGAGTTGTGTTTTATGACACCCTGCAAATCTTGTAAGATGAGGGAGAACAAAGAGAAAGGTTCTTACTGTGAATCAGCCAGGAAAAAAAAAAAAAGTAGAACCTTTGTGAAAACAGCATAGCTGCATTGCACACACATCTAATAACCAGTGAGCTATTTGCATGTAATTTGCATTGAGACAAATAAACCTCATGGCCTATTCTCAGGCGAGGTTTAAAAAAAAATTGACTCCTACAACCATTCTGCATTCCTCCTTACAAAAATTTTCTTTTTGGTGAAAATATACATAACAAAACATATACCCATTCAACATTTTGAATCTACACAGTTCAAGGTCAGTGGTTACATTCTTCACACTGTGTCACCATCTCGCTATCTCTACTCATATTGTTTTACCACCATTAACTTAGACCCTCGGCCTTGTAAACTTCTCTGTGTTTTAGAGTTACTGTTGTCAATCTGATCTCATATAGATAGTTATTTTAAAGCATGAACTGCTCAAGTTGAACATTCTTTACTATTTGAGCTAAACTACTGTTTAGTTTAAAGATGACTTTATGAGGTAGTTTCTATTAGAGGCTTAAAGGTTATATCAGCGCAATAGATTTGGGGGTTTCCCTACTCACAATGGGTCCAGTAAGCCTGGTTTCTATAAGAATTTGAAGCTGTGTTCCATATTTTTCTCCGTTTGATCAGGCTCCATATATTGGATCGTTCATCAAAAGGTTCAGTAGTTTGCATTCTTTCTTAATGTCCCATTAACTCCTTAAAGTTCTGGGTAATTTATGGAGAGAAATATCAGCCCTCACTGCTAACCAGAAGGCTGGCGGTTCAAACCCACCAGCCACTCCTCGGAAGGAAGGTTGGGCAATCTACTTCCGTAGTG